AATCGTATATATATATAAATTAACCAAGATGACGTAATAGGAAGATTATAATAATAGATTGCGTGATACGAATGATAACAATAGATTTAGTAAATGCTCAATACGATTGTACAGCATGATAACAAATTCGTTGAAAAGCGATCCCTTCGCTGAACTTCGTGTTTTAATTTTAATGTTTAAATGGGTATCTGTCAAAAACTAGATTACTCAATTAATATTCATTCATATAAAGTACTTGTTTATTCCCTCATTTGTCTACAAGAAAGGTTCATTGAATACTAATAATTAATCATTAGAATCACTAAATTTTTTTTCTTCCAAAGTGTTTTTCTTTTCATTTAGGATAAAATTTGACATTCTTGTTTGATTCATATTATGAACATATTACTTTTTGTTATATCCTGATGAGAATAATGAATGGTAACCTTTGGGATCTATTTACGAGCCAATATGATACGTATATTTGTATCGTATAATTGTTAAGTAACCAAACTATTCATATTTGTGATCCTTTTATCATAAGCTTTATAATGACCTATAAACTATTATTATACGATTTATCATTCTTGAGTTATACCCAGTCTATCAATTACTACCTCCTACATTCATAACCATATTTGGCTAAATCTTGTACAAACGTTGTTTCCTATTTTATGGTACGATATGATCTGTTTGGTTGGTATATCAACCCAGTATGTTTGAAATAAATGATTGATATCTCAGAGGCTGAGATTGTTGTTCTGAACTTAACAGGCAAGGCTAGGTGGTGAGTAGGATCGATAAGGACTCTAGACTGCTCGCACAGGTTTTATGCGTCAATGGTCCAATCGATAATTCACTATTCTGTAATTGGCGATATTATTAAGTTATACATTAATAAGGACACAGGGCACAAGTTATAACACTTTTCAATAGGTCATTATGCATATATAGACTTTTATTTGCGTTTTTTAAATAAGTTAACAATTTTCAGTATGTATTCCCAGGAAAGGGTTGATAAATCTTTAATAAAATGTTATTGAAAAAATCTATCGGTTCCATCCATAAGGTATTCACTTATGTTATAGAAAATTATAATCAGCATTTCAATAAATAAATAAATGCTGGACAAACTCTTCTGTTGTTTCTACAAGCATGTATATGTATAGACATGGTAGCTAAAGATGACCTTGGGGCAGATGAAACAATTGGCAAAGTTGTAAGAAACCAGTAAGAAACTGGTAAGTCATGTGAAAGTAAGAAGTAGAAAAAAGTATACTTGGAGTCATCGATACAAGAAAGAACAAACTCTTATCTACAGAAACGAGATAACTTAGGATCTACCTAACAGTGTCACTTTATAATATGTTCTAGTTATATTCTAGGAATAGGAATGAAGCTTAACCGCATAAAAAAGCTTCGCTACTTTGTAGTATATCTCGTATGATATATCATCCTTTTTCAATATATCTATATTGTCTCCTATGTCCACTTATGCATATTAATGATGTCAACATAAAGACACCTATTAAAAATCTGAGTTATACTGATCGCTATTAAGGAAAAATCAATATGATGTTCTCCCAAAGTCAGTAGTGATATATCTTTATCGAACAACTTTACAGTATGATCAGCAGGATAAATCGAATAACCGGACTTTAAGTTGCTTTTTACAGATTATGTGGTAATGACAAGTAATTGTATGTCATCAAATATGTTAAACGTGTCTCTAATAGTTTAATAGCAATATCTATAACTACAGCAATGTATAATGTTAGTTTGAATACCCAATGCAAGGTATGTTCATGTAAAATTGTGAACATGGTTTACTAATAAGTATCTGTAAATTTGAGGCATTATTTAAGAATTTTCCGATATTGACGAACCTTCAAAACAAAGTTTTCTTAAATTAATATATGAAAACATTTAAGAAACAGCAGTGGAAACAATTAGTCAACCATAATCAATTTGAGATAGCCTTATAGAGAAAAAGTCAGATACATCTTAAGTAACTGTATTACACAGTTAAAAGAGTGGTAGACAATTTTAATTACAAAGAAAATAAGAACAAAAATCTTCTTATGGTGAGAATGGTTTAACATCGAACACATTTTCCATAAAATATTATACAACGCATTTTCGATCATAATTTAAACAGTTAGAAAATTGATATACAAAGAATAGATCATGTTTTTAGATTGATGAAAAGACAAGAAAATATCATTTATAACTTAACACTATGTTTATCGTAACATAAATTCATGTCGTGACGTAAATAATTAGTGTGTTGCAAGATTCAATTAATGAATGAAGATTAAACAATGTATTTGATCTGTATACTCATTGTAGGATACAAATATCCATGGTACAAATTTTCAACGTCAAAAAGGAATGTAACTTTCATTATTTAAGACTGGGAAATGTGTATTAAATGCTCATGATATAATATTTGGGTAGAATTTCTTTCTCTGAGCTGGATGGTTTAATTGTGGAGTTTTCATTAATCTTCTGAATAACATAATCAGAACAAAACGTCCGGTAGAATATTTCGTGATCATTTTAATAAAAATTCTATACTCTACCTTCATTTTTCTCTTAAAATATAAACATTTATCTGAGTGCACCGTGGATGGTCAAGTACATAATTATACTGTGCTGGACAATACAATAAAAAACTGAAAACATCAAGACTTTATGCATACACTATAATGTTGGTTGAAAGTAATCTAAGAAAGTTTGATATTTTGTACAATTTTAAGGGCGCCAAGTGTAAAATACCATCCTTTTAATTCTCCTAACATTATAGTTCTTAATGGAAATTAATAGACATATGAATAGTCACTCAATATCGAGACTCATTGACGTCACATTTTAAGTCAGAACTTTTCTTTCTTTCTTCCTGACTGGTGAAAACAATATATTCTTCTAAATATACTTAAATAGAAATGAGTTTATGTATGAGTTACATGAGGTTAAGCCTATAAATTAAACCACTTACGCAATTCTTTTATTGCTACAAACTAATAGATGCTAATATAGTATGTAGAACCTGTCAGAAAATAATACGTAACTCAAGTATTTTCTGTATACAAATGTTGTAGGCTATTACTCTGATATACCATATACCATAGTAAATCAATAATCAGTCAGAAATGTTATATAATTAAATTTGAGCATATTTGTATTTCAGTAATTACGGTTCTTCTAAATTCTGCAATGAAGTATTATTAGTTGAACTAATAATACGTATAGTGAGTAAGAATTACATTCCTGTAGTTAAAGGTTTCTGTTAGTCTATATATAGCTGATATTTATTCAACTGATTCTGTGTCATGGAATAAGTGAGTGTTTAAATAAAAATCATTCGTAGTTGTAGAAATTATTTTCTATGTTCAAGTTTTTAAACGAACCTGACGTAGAAAAACGGTAACTAATTTTATAAAACCACTGTTAATTTTTCTGAAGTTGATTTAATATGGCTGTGATATTCGGTACTTCTGACTAAACAAAAAAAGTGAAGAAATATTATATGATTGTGGTTACAACTTAGTTAAGATATGTGGTCTTCTTTAGGACTCGTCATCTGGATGTACCTACAATCATGCTTTTATTCACCATAAAACGTGTACCTAGTACCTTTCCACTTAAAATACCAACTCATTGTTTATTTAACTACTACCCTCAGATAGGTTTTGGCTTGTGTAACTGGCATGAATATTATTTTAGTTGTAAGAGTTTCAATCTCCTGTTATTGAAGTTAAGGGCAATTAATTAGACTCATAACATGAGTGTATCCTGATCAGATTGTCTCAATAATATTGTTAAGTCACAAGCATTTTTAAGCAGAATTTAAACAGCCTCTAGCAGTAAAGTCCAGGACACTTCGTAATAATCCGCTCAAAATATATAAATACTGAAAACCGTTCGACTGATAGCAATCCTTAGCAGTACGGGAAAAGCGGCACGGGAAAAACGTCAGAGTTGTTCGAAGAAGCCCGCCCTTTCGTTTCAACGACCTTGAACGGCCTGACAAGAGGCGGTCATTCCGTATTTCAATTGCCGTGGGTTTGTTGGTTTGCATGAGTATTAAGGTTTTTCATATTTAAGTCATCTTTTGCTGCATTTAAAAGCACAAAATAACTGCCAAAAGCATTAATTTAGCGTTCTCTGTTTTGTAGTGTACACATGGACTCTGTTGTTGCTTCGTAACTTGATCTGTAACCCCAACTGCTGTAGTAAACCCAAACGAAATGTCAAGTCACCGGTAAATCTTAAGTATTCGTAGTACTTCCTTGGGTTATTATTGTTTCAAGGAATAACTTTTTTATAATTGATGATTTCTGTTCGTAGTGCTTCATGCTCAAGTGACATTTCAGTTGATCTTAGCGATGCTTTTCAAAGTATGATTTTGAACAAGCGTTTCGCATGCTGGGATGACTTTGATAAAGCGCTAAAAGAGTTCTAAAAAGTATGGAAGAATAACTTTATCCCTTCTCAGACTACCCATACATATTACATGCACACGGAAAGCAAGATGCTGAAGAATGTCAGGTTCAAATACCTGTTTGTTACGTTTCACTGTACATTTGGTCATCAGCGGAATTCGGAATGTTTGAAAGTGAATCAAAAACCGTGAGGACTTTAAGGTCAAAATTCTGATATTTTCAACGTTCCAGAAGGAAAATCTTTAATTTATCAAATAACTATTGTATAATCCATAAGTCATTAATGTCAGTCTAATATGCACAATCATGAATATGAACAACTCAGTAGTAACATAATCCCGTTTATTTTCTAGTAAGTCATCGAATTTCTCTTTTCCAGTTATTTTCTCTTTTTCATTTTTTACTAGTATCTATGTGGTGTTTGAATGAACCAATGATACCTTTGTACTGGTTGAATACTTGATTTCGAATTCTAAATACAATACATTCGTTTGTGCCTGTGTCTTCTTAGTTCAATTGCGTTAATCCTGGAATTCCTAGTTCATACTATAATTAGAATATTATATTGGCGTCGCGATGGAACCTGCAATGGAAAAGTTGGATATTCATTCAACTCCTGAAGCTATTGAGGATTATTTGGAAAGGTTCGAAATTTGGAGCATGACCAAGAAAGATGTTAAAGGTGAGAAAATTGTGGCATATTTTCTGACATTCATTGGGAGAGAAGTGTACAGCTTATTAAAAACTTTGGCATATCCAGAAAAACCTATCTCACTGCCTTATGCAACTCTTAAAGAGCTATTGTTAAGTCATGTAAAATGCACCAGTTTTGAATGCCGTGAAAGGGCGAAGTTTCATAAGATGGTTCGTCAAAATGACCAAAAGGTTCGGGAATTCATCCTTGAATTACAGAAACAAGCTGCCAAGTGTAATTTCGGTGATCAACTTCATGTGCAATTGAGAGATCGATTAATTGCAGGAATTAACATACCGAGTTTGGAAAGAGAGCTGTTAAGAATGCCAAACTGTTCCTTTCAAGATGCTAGAACTGCATGTATTAACTACGAAGCAGTCAATGAACTTGATATCCAGTCGATGAATATTTCTAATACTTTGCTTAGTCGTCGTGATGAACTACAATCTCAGGGTCAATCAAACTTGCGTTCATTTAACAGTGATTCCTATTCTCGTGTAAATATGAAAGGTGTTTCAACGAGGAATTACAAAGCAAATCACAAAGGTGAGATGAAGTTTGGTAAATGTTTATCATGTGGAAAGTTTCATGCTCGCAATTCATGTGTATTTCGTAATGCTAAATGTTTTAAATGTGGTAAGGTAGGACACATTCAGTCAGTATGCAAAGCTACTGTCCATTTTGCTTCGAGCTGTACTAAATCTTGTAATTTAAATTTCAATAATTCGGATGTTTCTAGTGATCATTTGTCTTTGTCCACTATTTCGAAAGGTAATGCTCATATTCAGAAGCGATTATATACATCGCTTGGTTCATTTCATGACTTTATTCTGGACACAGGCAGTATAGAGTCCATTATTTCATTCAAGAACTTGAAAGCTTTAGATCCTAACGTTGTTGTACGACCCACTGAAGTATCAATACTGGGGATTACTGGACACAGACTGCCCATACGAGGATGTTGTGAATTGCTAATCAGAGATGATAATTCTTCATACATACCTTGTGAATTTTTAGTTAGCGAAACAGGACTGTCAATATTGGGTTTAAAGAATTTGAAAAGGCTTAAGGTGGAGTTGTCCTTCTTAGTTTCTAAAGAAAATTCTGATACTTTACTTAAAGATTTGATAGCTATGTGTGCTAAATGCAGTGGAGGTATGAAAATTAAGCCTATAAAACTTCAAGTACAGGGTGATCCCGTCTTTCTTAAAAGACGAATAATTCCTTATGGTCTTCGAGAAGCAGTACATAAGACATTAAACGATTTGTGTGTGAAAGGCATAATTGAACCAATCCAGTCTTCAGCATGGGGTACTCCTATCGTTACGCCACTGAAGTCGGACGGCAAGACCCCTAGAATTTGCGGTGACTATAGATTAACTCTGAACTCCCGTTTGTTGAAGCAAACGTGCACGACGGTAGAAGCTGAAGATATTCTAAATCGACTTCATGGTTCTAAAGTGTTCTCGAAAGTTGACCTAAAAGATGCTTATCTTCAAATTCCTTTAGATGAATCTTCATCTATTTTGACGACAATTAACACTCCTTTTGGTCTGTTCAAATACAATTTCCTTCCATTTGGTCTAAGTTGTTCTCCAGCCATATTTCAGAAGTTATGAATACAGTAGTTAGTGATCTTGAAGGTGTTGAAGTTTATCAAGATGATCTCATTGTTCATGGCTCTAATAAGGTGGTTCATGACCAGAGACTTATTGCTTTATTGCGACGTTTAATTGAGAAGAATATAACAGTGAATCCAAATAAGTGTTCATTTTGTGTATCTAGTTTTGAATGCCTTGGATACCTAGTTGATGGTAACGGTTTTAGACCAGATATGAAACGACTAGCTCCACTGACTAATGCACCGTCTCCGAAAAATCTTACAGAATTACGTTCACTAGTGGGTGCTCTTCAATACTATTCCCGTTTTATTCCTAATTTTTCTTGTCGTGCAAATTGTTTATTTAATATTTTAACATCCAATTCATTCAAATGGAGTGAGGAACAAGAGTCATGCTTACGAAGTCTGCTGAAGTTTCTTCAAAGTGATGCTGTTCTTCGAACGTACTCCCCTAATGTACATTCTGTGCTTATTACTGATGCATCACCTGTGGGAATTGGTGCAGTTTTGGAACAGGAAGGTAGACCAGTTATTTGTGTTTCACGCAAACTTACTGTTACTGAACAAGGTTATTCACAGACTCAGCGAGAAGCATTAGCTGTGTTTTGGGCTGTTAAAAGACTTCATAAATATTTATTCGGAAAGAAATTCACTATTGTTACTGATCATGAAGCTTTAAAGTTTATTTATCATCCCGGAAAATCCTTAGCACGTTCCTCAGCAGCTATGGTTCAGCGATGGAGTATTGCTTTGAGTGCATATGACTATACGGTTCAGCACAGAAGTGCCAAACAGATTCAACATGTTGATTACATTTCTCGACAGTCATTACAAGATAAACCTATTAATACTTCGGATTGTTTGTTAGTGCAACCTTTACCAGTGAGACGTTCAGATCTCATTAGAGAAACTCGTAGATATTTTGGATGTATACTCAGTGCTATAAGGAAAGGTTGGAATGCTAATTTGAAACGGAGATTTCCTATCTATTTTTCAAAGCGGGATGAGTTATCTACTACTCCTGATGGTATTCTGTGTTTAAACGATCGTGTTGTCATTCCTCCTTCATTGCGTAAATCTGTTCTTGAAGATCTTCATAGTGGTCATTTAGGTGTTGAGAAAATGAAGTCCTTGGCAAGGCTCACATGCTGGTGGCCAGAGATAAATGCAGATATATGTCGTACGGCAAACAGTTGTGAGAAATGTCATCAGTTGAAAAACCATCCTTCGAAGTGGGTGCCATGGCCAGTATCGTCTGAGGCCTGGCAGAGGATTCATGCTGACTATTGTGGACCATTTCTTGGTAAATACTACGCACTAGTAGTCATTGATTCTTTTTCAAAGTGGCCTGAAGTTTTTTTCACAACTTCACCAAATTCTGATTTCACAATACAAGCATTAAGAAAGGTGTTTAGTCGAGAAGGTGTTCCCTTGGTGTTGGTGACTGATAATGGCTCACATTTTGCTGCAGATGCAGTCACTACCTGGTTGAACGGTATAGGGTGCAAACATCTATTTACTGCTCCCAGACATCCGTGTTCTAATGGTCAGGCAGAGAATTTTGTTAGGACATTAAAGACTGCTATTGATTCTATAGCCCCCTCAACATTTAATGAGCTGGAGAGGGGAGTAGATACCTTTCTATTGCAATATAGAAATGCCAAACATTCGGTGACGAAGGAGACTCCAGCGAAGCTATTGAAAGGAAGAATTCTTCGGTCGAATATGAGATGTCTGGAGTCTGCAGAGGTTACATACTATCGAGGAAATGATCTTCGACCATCTACGGGTATTGTTCTGAAGAATGTCGGAAAATCGATGGTGCGAATTCTAGACATCGATGACTTAAGTACACACAGTCGACATGTAGATCAAATACAATTTCAGGAACCAGGTGAGTCAGTTCCAATTTCGATTGTTAATTCTAATGCTAATGAGCATATTCTAGATAATACAGAATCCTTATCCAATACAATGTCAGACAGACTCAGGATGAATTTGAGAAGAAGACGTACGATTGATTATAAACACCTAGACTCCAATTTAAGCTGTGGCGGATGTGGTGTTTGAATGAACCAATGATACCTTTGTACTGGTTGAATACTTGATTTCGAATTCTAAATACAATACATTCGTTTGTGCCTGTGTCTTCTTAGTTCAATTGCGTTAATCCTGGAATTCCTAGTTCATACTATAATTAGAATATTATATTGGCGTCGCGATGGAACCTGCAATGGAAAAGTTGGATATTCATTCAACTCCTGAAGCTATTGAGGATTATTTGGAAAGGTTCGAAATTTGGAGCATGACCAAGAAAGATGTTAAAGGTGAGAAAATTGTGGCATATTTTCTGACATTCATTGGGAGAGAAGTGTACAGCTTATTAAAAACTTTGGCATATCCAGAAAAACCTATCTCACTGCCTTATGCAACTCTTAAAGAGCTATTGTTAAGTCATGTAAAATGCAGCAGTTTTGAATGCCGTGAAAGGGCGAAGTTTCATAAGATGGTTCGTCAAAATGACCAAAAGGTTCGGGAATTCATCCTTGAATTACAGAAACAAGCTGCCAAGTGTAATTTCGGTGATCAACTTCATGTGCAATTGAGAGATCGATTAATTGCAGGAATTAACATACCGAGTTTGGAAAGAGAGCTGTTAAGAATGCCAAACTGTTCCTTTCAAGATGCTAGAACTGCATGTATTAACTACGAAGCAGTCAATGAACTTGATATCCAGTCGATGAATATTTCTAATACTTTGCTTAGTCGTCGTGATGAACTACAATCTCAGGGTCAATCAAACTTGCGTTCACTTAACAGTGATTCCTATTCTCGTGTAAATATGAAAGGTGTTTCAACGAGGAATTACAAAGCAAATCACAAAGGTGAGATGAAGTTTGGTAAATGTTTATCATGTGGAAAGTTTCATGCTCGCAATTCATGTGTATTTCGTAATGCTAAATGTTTTAAATGTGGTAAGGTAGGACACATTCAGTCAGTATGCAAAGCTACTGTCCATTTTGCTTCGAGCTGTACTAAATCTTGTAATTTAAATTTCAATAATTCGGATGTTTCTAGTGATCATTTGTCTTTGTCCACTATTTCGAAAGGTAATGCTCATATTCAGAAGCGATTATATACATCGCTTGGTTCATTTCATGACTTTATTCTGGACACAGGCAGTATAGAGTCCATTATTTCATTCAAGAACTTGAAAGCTTTAGATCCTAACGTTGTTGTACGACCCACTGAAGTATCAATACTGGGGATTACTGGACACAGACTGCCCATACGAGGATGTTGTGAATTGCTAATCAGAGATGATAATTCTTCATACATACCTTGTGAATTTTTAGTTAGCGAAACAGGACTGTCAATATTGGGTTTAAAGAATTTGAAAAGGCTTAAGGTGGAGTTGTCCTTCTTAGTTTCTAAAGAAAATTCTGATACTTTACTTAAAGATTTGATAGCTATGTGTGCTAAATGCAGTGGAGGTATGAAAATTAAGCCTATAAAACTTCAAGTACAGGGTGATCCCGTCTTTCTTAAAAGACGAATAATTCCTTATGGTCTTCGAGAAGCAGTACATAAGACATTAAACGATTTGTGTGTGAAAGGCATAATTGAACCAATCCAGTCTTCAGCATGGGGTACTCCTATCGTTACGCCACTGAAGTCGGACGGCAAGACCCCTAGAATTTGCGGTGACTATAGATTAACTCTGAACTCCCGTTTGTTGAAGCAAACGTGCACGACGGTAGAAGCTGAAGATATTCTAAATCGACTTCATGGTTCTAAAGTGTTCTCGAAAGTTGACCTAAAAGATGCTTATCTTCAAATTCCTTTAGATGAATCTTCATCTATTTTGACGACAATTAACACTCCTTTTGGTCTGTTCAAATACAATTTCCTTCCATTTGGTCTAAGTTGTTCTCCAGCCATATTTCAAGAAGTTATGAATACAGTAGTTAGTGATCTTGAAGGTGTTGAAGTTTATCAAGATGATCTCATTGTTCATGGCTCTAATAAGGTGGTTCATGACCAGAGACTTATTGCTTTATTGCGACGTTTAATTGAGAAGAATATAACAGTGAATCCAAATAAGTGTTCATTTTGTGTATCTAGTTTTGAATGCCTTGGATACCTAGTTGATGGTAACGGTTTTAGACCAGATATGAAACGACTAGCTCCACTGACTAATGCACCGTCTCCGAAAAATCTTACAGAATTACGTTCACTAGTGGGTGCTCTTCAATACTATTCCCGTTTTATTCCTAATTTTTCTTGTCGTGCAAATTGTTTATTTAATATTTTAACATCCAATTCATTCAAATGGAGTGAGGAACAAGAGTCATGCTTACGAAGTCTGCTGAAGTTTCTTCAAAGTGATGCTGTTCTTCGAACGTACTCCCCTAATGTACATTCTGTGCTTATTACTGATGCATCACCTGTGGGAATTGGTGCAGTTTTGGAACAGGAAGGTAGACCAGTTATTTGTGTTTCACGCAAACTTACTGTTACTGAACAAGGTTATTCACAGACTCAGCGAGAAGCATTAGCTGTGTTTTGGGCTGTTAAAAGACTTCATAAATATTTATTCGGAAAGAAATTCACTATTGTTACTGATCATGAAGCTTTAAAGTTTATTTATCATCCCGGAAAATCCTTAGCACGTTCCTCAGCAGCTATGGTTCAGCGATGGAGTATTGCTTTGAGTGCATATGACTATACGGTTCAGCACAGAAGTGCCAAACAGATTCAACATGTTGATTACATTTCTCGACAGTCGTTACAAGATAAACCTATTAATACTTCGGATTGTTTGTTAGTGCAACCTTTACCAGTGAGACGTTCAGATCTCATTAGAGAAACTCGTAGATATTTTGGATGTATACTCAGTGCTATAAGGAAAGGTTGGAATGCTAATTTGAAACGGAGATTTCCTATCTATTTTTCAAAGCGGGATGAGTTATCTACTACTCCTGATGGTATTCTGTG